AGCATAGTGGTCTTAGCGTATGTTATCAAGTCTACTGGCTATTGTTCTATATATCATCAAATACAAGCATCCTGTTGACTCTTGGATATTGGTACAACATTCTAGAAGACGACTCTTCCTTTTATAACTCACTCACTAAACACGTGATCACTATGGTCTTGATTGTCATCGAGTTCTTGTTCTCAAGAATYCCCGTATATTTAAGTCACATGATCTATCCTCTTGTCTTCACCATCTCATACAATGTATTTGCTTTGTTGTATTGGGCTGCRGGGGGCACGGATCCAGATGGCAGAAACTACATTTACGATGTTCTGAACTATAATCGTATTTCCTTCAAGCAAGTCATCGTCCCAACTTTAACAGTAGCACTCTTACAGCCGCTGATMCATGTGGGATTTCTTGTTGTTGCATTCGTTCGTAATGGCATTGACGATAAACTTTGCCAGCTGTGTCTTAGAAGAAAGTTCTTTAAGTAAAATGAACTTAGTGGATTTCCTTGTCCATGGAAAAAAGCCAAATCTTCAGCAGAGATAATTGTCCATGGAAAAAAGTCAAATCTTCAGCATAGAGAACTGTCCATGGAAAAAAGTCAAATCTTCAGCATAGAGAACTGTCCATGGAAAAAGCCAAATCTTCAGCACACACTAACTGCACTGCGTCAAGTAGCTTCCATTGTGGGTTTGTACGGGCCAGGGAAATATAGAACTAATTTTCCCGTCCTCGGCCTGTGGAAAGTCATAGAATTTAGTCAAGGGACATTGAGAGTCAATGCAAATATTTCTGATATGCATTTTATTAGTATTACCTGTGTTAAAAACAAATACATTATATTGTAATATTCTGTGCGAAAACTTGTACAACCAAGCATACTGCACAAAATGGCACTCAGCTTAGAATATCTTAGTCGTTTTAATACCATGAAAAAGACAGCATTTTTTCAGAGAACATAATCCATATGTCAAGGAATGATCAGTTTACTCGAAATGTGTAATAAAATTGGCTACAACTCATCGGTTTGCTATATATACGTAATTGTAAAAATGTAGTCAATACTAATAGAGAAATTTAACTTTTGAATTTAGTAATTCAAGTCACATTTTGTCTTTTTTAAGTTATACCTTTTTACCAAAATACAAATCTCCTTTTTTTCTTGGTGACAACGTTTTTGCAATAAGGTGAATACATGCCGATGTCAAACTTGAACGATTCTTCATTCTAAAKGCGTGTCATGGAGGCCATATTGAAAACTCAATCGTCTATATCAGAAGCTTTTCTTTGTCATATCAAACTCATTGCATACATTTTGAAACATTT